TCTGCAGGTGTTGAGCTGGGGGTAAAACACCAAAACCCACTGTGGTTTATCTGTTATATAGGAACAGTGGTGTCTATATTATTCTAGTTTTTTATTACAAAAACTTGGCTCACTGGGCATACACATGTTTCATATGTTTTTCTAGCATGAAGGCAATGCATACCTGTTATAGAACAATTGAAAAATGCAGAAGGTAAAAAGTGAGAAAATCAAGCCCTTCTATTACATAAGGACACCACTGCTAATATTCTATTGTATATTCTCCCATTATTTTTCTGAGCATATGGTGTTTTTTTAAAATTTTATTTTTCCCTTTGCTTAATATTATATAATCATTATGACCTGACAGTCATAAAAACTAACTTTTAAAATTTAATCAATTACTATTTATTTCAATATAAATTATAGAAAACCAAAAGAAGATAAAATTGCTTAAGTTTTACCCTGATGAATAAAACTTCTATTGAAGTCTGGTTTATACTTTTCTATTAATTTTTCTAGGAAGACAACTTTCTTTCTAAAACTAAGAAATGTGCTTGCCCTGTACCCCCAGTACCAGATCCTGCAGGGATGTTTCCCTCGCCCTCACCAGCCAGCCCCCTTTCTTTGGGCCCCTGAAGACTGCATTGGTACTGGATGTCATCAAGCTGTGGAGCACTCATGCCTCCCTCATCAAACTTTTATTCTGAATGCAGATGTGTCTGGTCTGTACTGTTTCAGAACTGGACCATATGGGGAGCCATATTCTTCCATTAAGAAGGATCCACCAAGAGCGCTGATCTGCCGTGAGAGTGAGTGAGGCAGATAGAGAGGGGCATGGGAGAGGTCTTAATAGCTTTCCATTTCTGATATGAAGCCCTATTGCTTATCTTCCTCTCATCCCATTATCTTCCTAATGTTGTTGACCTCCTTCCTTCCTGATCTCTTGAGTTGTTTTCCTGTTGTTTCCAGCTAGAGGATCTTAATCAAAAACACATGGTTTGTTACCTTTTTTCAGCTACTATATAAATATATAATGAAAGTCTTTTCATATTTCTGAGTAATTTCCATAACATTTAGTAGCTATATAGCCATCATAAAACCTTATTATTCTCTTACATCCTAAGTTTTTTTTAAATTATAAGTGATTTATAAAGGAATATATTGTTGCTAAGTTTTAGGGACACAGGCTTTTGTTCTTAGCAAAGATCACAGTGTCAACTATGTGTTTTCTGAACACCTGTGATGGGCATTGTCAAATTGCTCTCTAGAAAAATTGTATCCAGCTCTGCCTCCATCAGCTCTGCACAAAAGGGCCTCTTTCTCTACAACCTAGCCGATATTGGATGTTACTCTTCCAAAAAGTCTCTTATACCACTAAGTTTTTTAAAAATTTTTTTAATTGTAGATGAACACAATGCCTTTATTTTATTTATTTATTTTTTAATGTGGTGCTGTGCATTGAATCTGGTGCCTTACACGTGCCAGGCAAGCCCTCTACCTCTGAGCTACAACCCCAGCCAGGCCAGTAAGTTTTGACCAATAATCAGGAAGTCTGTTTTCTGAGCATTCTGATTTCCCATGCTGTGGTTTCAGCCAATGCTACCTATTTGTTTGGGTTCTGTGTATCCTGCATTCACAAAGATGTCTACTTGGTGAAAGCTCGAAGGTAAAGATAATTAATTGAGTGCTTTACTATAACAGAACGGAAAACTGCATTGCTTGCCCTGTACCCCCAGTAGCAGATCCTGCAGGATTCTGGAAAAAGAAATGGTGGCCTCAGGTAGCCAATCCACTGAGGCTCTCTAGGTAAATTTAGATTGATTTTGGCAACAAGTTATGTTACCCTTCACAAAATGTAATTTCTTAAAGCAACTCTAAATGATATTAGTCTGGGCAGATAAAAGGTTCTTTGAGTTTTCTTCTAATAATTATGACTTACAATATATTAGAGACTACACGAAACGCTTTGCATATATTACAGTCTCACCAAATCTATGATGTGACTTCCATTATTGGCTGTTTTCTCAGAGAACTAGGAGATTACTTCAAGGTCACTCAATGATTGACTATGGTGAAGGGCCAGGTTAACAGCAGCTGAAACACCTAGGCCCCCTGACTCCTTCCAAATGGGGGCTGCTTCTGCTCCTCAGCACCACTTTTCTCCAGTTCTTTGTGTTCCCTCCTATCTTTCTACATTTCTAGTAATCCATGCCCATTCTTTTTCTTTTTTTTTTTGGGTGGGGGGGGAGAGTACTAGGGATTGAACTCAGGGGCTCTTAACCCCTGAGCCACATCCCCAGCCCTATTATATTTTATTTAGAGACAGGGTCTCGCTGAGTTGCTTAGTGCCTCACTTTTTGCTGAATCTAGCTTTGAACTCACTATCCTCCTGCCTCAGCCTCCTGAATTGCTGGGATTATAGGTGTGCATTACCGTACCTGGCTCTGTGCCCATTCTTTAGGGAAAAAATTATAGCATGTTGTTGAAAGTTTCCAGACCAAAGGCTAGCCCTCCAGCCTGCAGGCGATTCCCTGGTTCCTGCTCTTCTAGTATTTGTGTACTAAATGGCCTCTGATGTTTTTTGTGTTTGGAGAAACTTTGATAAAAAAAATCCTTAATTATTAGGTTAAATGTGTTCTTATGTGATCATATAGGTACTAGTCCTGGATGAGAGATTATTTATACTAAAAAAAAAATAATATAAACTGTGAAAGCCTATCACTTAAAAGTTTGCCAGTCATGTAGTTGATTACTTTTAGTGTCTGTTGTCAGGATTGAGCTGAATCATCACTGATGAATTGAATCCTATGGTGTTATCTTCAAAAGTATGAGAACTTACAAGGTGATGCTCTGAGGGTAAGGACAGTTAGTCTGTTTGCCACACTGAGGTATTGGTTTTCCCACAGAGTGTGTATTGGCAGTTTGTCTTGCTCATTCTGGGTAGAAGAAATGTAACTTGGCAGCCTGATATTAAACCTGTATTTGAGCTTTGGCTTTGCTACTTACTAGTTTTCTGATTTGGGGAAAGTGACTTAACTAATGTCAGTTATGTGACAGTTACTTATCTGTGAAATAAGGATTTTTCTACCTTTTAGGGTTTGATGAATAAATGAATTATTACCAAGTGATTACCATAACATTTGCAGACAGAAAGTGCATAATAACCAAAACACACTATCATTTCTCCATGGGGATGATGAATCCCAAATCCCTGTCCCTGAGTGGGTCTTCTCTTCAGTCTGTCCCGCACTCACACACCAGGGGCAGCCTGCAGGGAACCTCCCACTGCTCCACTCTCCAGGCTCCTTCTGGATCCTTCATCCCAGCAACTGTGCCACTTTCCACCTAAAGCTTACTCGAAACACCTGACGGTCATCCTGGACTTCCCTCCTCCCTCCTCATTGCTTCTGATCAGTCCCTAGGCTGTCCATTCTTAAGCTCTAACATCTCTAGTTCATGCTTTGCTTGTCACTGCCCTAATGGGCTTGCTTCCCCTGTAAATACATTATAGGTGTTTTCCCAAACATGGGCACTTCAGGGACTACTCACCTGTAGGTGTTAGGTTTTTCAGGATGTTGGCTATAAAAAGCCAAGGAGTTGCTAATAGCTACATGTTATTTGATTGACTTCTCTTTCCCATATGGTTTTGGTTTTTCTACTTCCTCTATTTGTGTCTCTATCTGTATCCTGTGAACCTAAGCAAAATTAGCAGCTCACATCTTGAAGACTTATTTTGCAGAACTCCTCAGGGTAAGGAAAGGAAGCTGCAAGGAAGGAGATAGCAGGGGCATCGGTGGGAGGGCCTCAGCAATGACTAAGCGGCTGCGATGGGCCTCAGAAATTAGGACAATTATTGGGTTTTACTGCTTTGAAGAGTAGTCTGCCCTTATCCTTTAGTGTTTGAGTTGAAATGGTATTGATTTATTTGAAATTGCTTAAGTAAGGTCTGCATAAAAGAACTGTCTAGGGTAATACTGTTCTGTTAGGCAGATACTGGTTTTTGTTAGGCAAAGAAGTTAAGGGGATGATCTAAGAATAAGTAGAATGTGTGTTCCAAGATTAGTCATAGAAATTTGTTTGAGTAGCAAAACTGCTGGGTAAAAACTAAGGATGGAAAGAAAGCACATGGGAGGATTCCTCAGCCTCTGCTGAAATATAAGTCAGGGTCTTTCTCTTTGAGGATTAACTTTTGAGAAAGCATCAAAAAAAACTCCCAGTTTTGCTTGGGTTATTCAGATCATGATTTGCTTGGAAAACTAAGGAGTATGACTTTGCCAGCTTCTAATTATGATTTCTATTAGAAACCTGGCACCTGACATGTATGTTTAGAAACCAAAGCATAAATGTACTTTCAGCTGTCACAAGCCCTAGGCCAGGGAAAGAAATAGCCATTTTTGTTTATCTAACAAATAGTAAGTGCTTCGTGGTATATGGAGAATTGAATATGTTTATGAAAAAAGTATTTAGTATCATTAAATTTATAAATTAGAAATCAAACTATTCTGGGTGAGGCCTCTTACGGGCAGGATTATGTTCAGGAAGTGTGGATTTGGGATGACTCCATATGGTTGGAGTTTTTTTTCAACTTTTGTTGAAAGAGGAGAATGTGGCTTCCATTAACTTTTTTTTTTTTTATTGGTTGTTCACAACATTACAAAGCTCTTGACATATCATACTTCGAACAATAGTTTCAAGTGAGTTATGAACTCCCATTTTTACTCCATTAACTTTTTGTCACAAATGTAAAGAAATATTTAGAAGCATTTTTCTCATAGCTTTACTTTAAGGTGTTTGTGTAGTACATGAGAGTTTTTTTTCCTATTTAAAATTATATTGATGCTTCTCTAGGGAAGAAACATATACTTATCTGACAACCTGTGGTAGGGATATTAGTAACAGAATAACTGAAAATACTTCAATGTCTTTTTCCTATCAGAAATATTATGTTAGTGTTTAAAATAGATTTTGATCAAATTACACACATCATATTGAAGCCAATATACTTAGACTTGAAAGAATGAGTTTGCAAAATCTTGTTTTAATTTCAATTCTGAGGAGGGCAGGGGAGCACATTGTGAAAATACATATGCACAGGAACCTAATCAATGCTAGACAAACAAAGTATTACTTTACAATATAGTAGGATAACCACAAATTTGAAGGCTCAAATTGAGTCCATCAGCTGTAAATACAATTTTATATTTGGCTCAAGTGGCTATTGAATATCAAGTGGTGCCAAGTTCCTCCAAAGCACCTAAGGACCCCCTCAGCCTTGGAAGGAGTTTCACCACAGTCTCAGAAGAAATCCCAGTCATCCCTTTAACTCTTTTGGCCCTTGGGAGTCATTGCTACCCACACACAGATGTAGGCCAGGGATTCCCAGTGGCCACGTGTTATTGCACAGAGAGGTCTGTTCTAAGCCAGACTCTTATGGCTAAGAAGGTGTGAGATTAGCCTTTAAATAGTGGTCTAGCATTAATATGGTCTATAAAAGCACATTAAGAAATAGATCCTTAGTGATTATGTACCAGCTACTAGTTATCACACTAACAGAAAAGGCAATATGGCAGCTTCACATTTCACATGAAAGACTAGCACTAACTGGGCCTGGCTTGCTGGCTTCACTTTCATATAAATATAGTGATTATTTTAATTTAGACCCAGGAGAAAATGATTTCATGCCAGTCTTTTCTTCACATAAGATTCGTGTAGCATTAAAATTGTTAGGGGCTAATGACTTGGCCATGAAGGCAAAAATGTGTAACTCTCCTTTGCCAAAACAGAAACATCCCTGTTTTGACTCCTGTCCAGTTTCCAAAAAAACAAAACATACATACACCTTTGTTATTGCACATCTTTCACACAAACTTGTGTATGTATAAAATATATTTATATATATATATACTTTTTAAATATGCTACACATAAAAAAGACTATGGCACTTTACAGAATACATGTTTAACAAAGATCATTACACCACAGATGTTTGAAAACTATACAAAAACCCTTACACAATTAATGTAACATTGTTGAATTAGCACACAGGTTTAAAGAATCCACAAACCCCAAGGCAAATACTTCTGCCTTAGAGTTCATTGAGAAGCCCAGCCCACGATAGAACTTTTAAGCACAAATGCAGGCAAAATAAATTATACTTTCCTTTTAGTAGTAATGGTCCTACTTATTAGAAAAACATGAGTGGGTCAACAAGTGGTTTTTTAAAAGAGCCATGCAGAAGACTTTTGATATAGAAAGCCCGATTTTAGATGGTCCTTTCATCCCAAAGTCAGTCTAATGGATTAAAGATTTAGAAGACCCACTATCTCTGTCTCTGGTAGAAAATTCAGCCTCTGCTCTGCTGTAGGAAGTTAGTGTTCAGGTAGTTTTTAGTGGCTTAGGGTTTTGTTTGTGCATGTGCCATTTTTGGTCTTTTATAACATTCAAATTAACCAAATAAACACTGTCAAGTGACTTTATGAGAGATCACATTTTCACTTATGAATATTACCAGGTTGATTGAAGGGTACACTGCCACTTAGTCAAAGAGCATGTGATAGACATGTTCAGGGGGTCTCCTGGGGTTAGGATTTTTAAAGCAGGAGACTGAGATTTAAAAAAAAAAATAGTGTTAGGAAATTCTCTCTGTTGTAAAGAAAAATGATAAGAAAAAATTGTTTTTATCAAAATTTGCCTGATGATGGAATTGCTTTTAATGATAAGTATTGCCCACATGCTGGCAGAGGGCCTTAGTGAGAACACTGTAAATTCAATCAGGGACAGGCACCTTCTCCAGTGGCTCCCATAGACTGTTTTCATGTGGCTGGAGAGATGGTTAATGTTTCCTGAGCCTTTACTGAGGTTGCTAGGAAGATTTCTGTTTACACTTCTCTGAGGGGGGGAAAAAGATAGGATTTAAACCTTGCTTACTTTGAACTTTGGTTTAAAAATGATAAATTAAGACCTGGTTCTATATTCCTCACTCCTCTGATCCTTAGACTTTCATCTGTTAGATAAGTTGGTTTCTAGTGTAGGCCAAAGGACAAAATGTAATAAAACTTTAGTTGTCCTATTCTGTATATAAATAAAGTACTTATTTATTCTGTACAAGGCTTAGTTCCAGACTCATATACGGCTTTAACATGATTCACCAGGGCAAGGCTGTAAAATCTAAGTCAGGGTTGTACACCTGATGTACTACACAATAACTTGCCAGTAGAAGGGGCTTAGTGACTATTAAAATTTCAAAACCACCCTCAAGCAAGCAGATTAAGAAACCCACAGAGACCTACACTTTCAATCTTTCCTCAAATCTGGCAGGGCCACCCCACTTCCTTCAGGTGCTAAGGAGTGTTCCCTAGCATTTCTTGCTACTTGGGTCATTCTGATTACAATCTTCCTGAATCAATGTATTAGAAATTTAAGGAAACTAGATGAAAAGCCTGAATCCTTTTTAATAGTGGTGCTTGACTGTTCTTGTAAACAAGTGTGGGCAGGTGTGATGAGTTTAGTTTGGTTTGTGTTTTTTGCATTAACTTTCTACTCTGTTTTCCTGGGGACAAAGTCTTTGATGCAGCTCTTTGGTTGCAGCAATTTAATGTTATTTCAATTTGCTTTCAGGATCAACACCAGTGGCTACAGAAACTTAACTCTTGTGACTACCTCCCTTTTTTCTGCCCAAAATGCCATTTTGCTGCTAACTTTAAGGGTCACCAAACAGAAAATGTCTCCTTGAAATGCTGAGATTCTTGCGGTCCCTCCCAGTGAACATCTAAATGAGCCACAGCTAGTTTGGAGATCACTGTCCTCCGAAGGTAGAAACAGAGTTAAGTTTTCCTTTGGCAGTCAAAGCACAATCCTAATCCTGGGAGAAAACTGTGATGGGGGACAGGGAGAGAGTGGACCAGCCTGGGCCCTAGCCTGTCTGCTGAGAAGAGGAAAAAATTTGTCTTCAACTGGCAAGGTTCTGTAGTTTTAGTCTCACGATTGTACTGGTCCTTAATCTTTCTTTATTCAAAAGTTTCTAAAATCTTAGAGAGTGACAGTTCTTTTTATCCACCTTACCCTGAATTTAGCCTAAAATTAAGTTCTACTGCAAGTTTCCACACTGACCTTGCTGATTCCTTTGGTCAGCTAAGCAAGAGACAGTGTCTTGATGTGTCCTTTAGCACACATTCTATCCCCAGTAAATTTGCAGACTTCCTTTTAGTCTTCAATTGAGACACCTTGAAAGAACTACACAGAAAACCAAAACACCAACCCTAGACTGCATGTGGAGGCAGATGCTCACAGGTGTGCAGCTTTGAGGCACAAATGTGCCTCAAAAACAGCCTGCAAAGTTGGCTAACAGTCTCCCATTTTATCAGAAATTCAGATGCCTTTATGATTCAAATCATTATCCTTCATGGAGCCCTGGGGGAGGTGGAGTCTGACAGGACTCCTTGACTACAGTCAGGATCTCAGACTATTTTCATGTTCCATCCCTTGTCATTTGCACTGCAGCCCTCCTGTCCAGTAACTGCCCCTCATTGGTCCTGCTAAAGCCTGGGGCTGTGGAATGTGGCTTTGATAGATACAGGCTAGTTCTCCACATGATTCAAAGGATGAGGACTGTTTCACAACATTACACAAGAAAGAAAATGGCATTAGTGTCTCTTCCAAACTAAAGGAGGCAGATAAGGTTCTTCCCCTCTTCAATTTCTTCTTGTACTTTGTCACTGGAAGTTGCAATTTCTGCTTGTGCGGAGAAGACAGCACAGATGAAGGTGAGGACTGTGCCACCAATGGCGGTGTAAAAGGCCCAGCCCAAGGAGCAGTCTCCAGGTTTGTAGGCAGATGCATAATGTCCACAGTAGTCTATGGCTTTCTGGCAACCCCAGCCAGCAGGGTAGAGTATCAAACCGAGGATAAGGAATAGGCCTGCAGGAGAGAAGAGAAAACAGGTTAAGCCCCCTGGTGCTCCAACCTACAGTAGGTTCAGATCTGCAGAAACAGTTACTTGATTTGCTGGCTTTGGGCTATGGCACCCATTCTTCAATAGAAAGTGTTAGGGACGGTTTTATGCAACTCATCTGACCTGAGCAGGAAGTATCAATTTATCAGCACTATTTTCAGCCACTTTTGTACATGTTGGAACATGGATTCATTAATACTTTCTTCTAGAAAAGCAAATTAACTTGTTTGTTACTATGTCTTTGCACAAGACTACTACAGTGAACATTTCCTTTTGTTCCAGTGCAGACATGGTAAACTAAAGCCCTCAAGCCAAATGTGGCATTATAAATAAAGTTTCATGGAACATTGGCACGTCCATTCATTTCTGGGCTGCCTGTAACTGCTTTGGTGCTGGAACAGCAGAGTTAAGTAGTTCCTATAGGCCACATGGCCTACAAAACCCAAAATACTTATAATCTGGCTTTTTGCAGAAAAGAGTTTGCCAACCTTGGTCTAACAGAATTCACACAGAATCATCAGATCCCAGCCTTGGTTAAACACAGGGGTCAGGAGCCTTGAAGGAAACCAGATCATAACCTGATTGTCACTGTTTCCAACAAGCCCACAAGGAATCTGTTTGTTAGTATTTACCAATAACCAATTGCATGCCCGGAGCAGAGATTTTGATTGTAAACCTCTTAAGAATTTTCTGTCTGGATGCTTTTAGCCTTGAGTAGATACTAAAATTATGCCTCCATTTTATTGACCACCCCATCACCATGTCACAGTAAGCATCCACCTTGCTATTCCTCCCAGTTTTACTGTTCACTGAACAACTGGATGTAGCAATTTAAGGCTGCCTTTCCTGCCTGTTCTCATCAGAGCTAGGACTAGGGAGAGGCAACTAAGGTACAGATTTTTACTCTAAATGTGCTTGTGGATGCCTGGCTTGCCTCACCCTCACCCTCAGTGGTGGCAGTGGCCACCACTCATTAGCAGAGGCTCTTTTATAACAAGGGTTCCAAATCTTACCCAACACTTTCGGTCTGAAGTATTATTTAAAGGCCTTTTTGTTTGTTTGCATCATGTGGGGCAGGAAAAAACTCTTCTCTGCAAAATGACACAAGATTGCTAAATCAACCAAAAAGTCCTAGTTTTCATAGACCTTGGAACATCAATTTTACCCTTGTAAACTGAAATCTTAGATTGCAGTTCTCTTTCTTTTCCTACCTTAACTGAAATTCTCTGGGTTCATAATGCCAAAGCTTTTAGGTCATTTGGAAACTTTCTCACCCAGAGAACGTGAGTGGATCTGTGGCAGTATGGACTACTTTTTTGTTGTCTTTGCAGTACTGGAGACTGAGCCTGGGACCTTGTGGATACTAGGCAGTGCTCTACCACTGAGCTCGACCCCAGCCCTTTTTATTTTGAATCAAGTTCTCACTAGGTTGCCTAGACTGGTCTCAAACTTGCAAGCCTCCTGCCTCGGCCTTGTGAGGATCTGGGATTACAGGTGCAGTAGAGGTTTGAAGGAAGACTGGGGACAGTGTTTCAAGCCACAGATCACAATTTTCATAGCTGTCTGCATCCTTGGATGAAGTCGTCTTGCCCAGCTGGGCAGTTTAATACTACAGTGGTTTTGGGTCTGAATGTCCCCACCTCATCTTGCTGTTCAACTCAGAGGACCTCATGGGATTTTCTAGGAGGGGTGGACCAAAGATGCTCACTGGGAGGTTCACAAGGAAGTCTTTCTGATTCTGCAGCCCTGGACTGCTTTCTCCACAGGTCTGGACACTGGAGCCAGGGAGGCAGGGGCTATAGTCAGGGAAGTACAGAGTGCCGGAAGAGCAGCATGGGACATCATAGAGAGGGGTTGTTAGAGATGAAAGGAAGCCAGTTTCCCAAGGCCAGGGCAGACAATGTGAACTGATCATCCTCTGGATTATGGAAAGTCCAGAACCAGCAGTCTAGGAGTGGATGTCGGCAGTCAAATCAGAGGCTGCCTTGCAAGCATGCACCAGGGGAGTTCCTAGAGTGCAAGCCTGTCAGCATGGGACCAGAACAGTGTTATGATGGGTCACAGCAGAGGCTTGCCAAGTTAAGAGTGGGTCAGCCGTTAAGAGCTCTGACTTTGAAGTAAGATAAGGTCTGAATCTACAGTCCGTCTTCTGTGAGCTGGGTGATCCAAGAAAAGTTTCTTGATCCCGTTCCTCACCTGTAAAATAGCCTCATCTTTAACTCATAAGTTGGTTGCGAATTTTAAAGTCAGTAAGGAATACTTTCTACAATCATAACAAAGCTGGAACATAGACCAGCAGCAGTCTGCAAGTTAAAGCCTTTGGCAGACCTCCCCCATCTGTGAGCACAAGCAAAGTCTAACCATCAATAATAAACAGATCTGCTTAGTTTTGAGGGCATATTTTGAAAGGTATAGTTTGGGAAGACGGAAGGATATCAGGCTATAATTTAGTAGCTTTGAAACAATAAACTGTTCTCTATTTGAATAGAAGTTTACTCAGCAAGGAATTCTGAAACGATTTAAAGTGATTCTTAAGTATTTCTAAGGTCTAGGACAAGCCCTAGTTAATCCTGTCTGCATCCCACTTTGTCTCCTAGGAAGCTTCACCTATGAGATCTTGATAGTTTCCTCCCCCAGACTCCTAGGTGACACACCACCACTGGGTTTTCTATCAGATGTCTACCCGCGAAGGACTCAAAGGCACCCTTGTTCAGACAGTCTCTGTCTTGAGGTTCTAAGTGGAGGCCCTGGGCAAGGGTATTGCTTTTCCCATTAAAAGACCAAAGTGTTCATATTTTGTAGCTCCAATTAAGGATTAATTGCACAGTTCATTTATACTGTGGCTTAAATGTAAAATGAACATATTTTAAAATATTAGGGACAGATGACAGAAAGCATGGAGTTCACTATATCATCCCAGCTCTGCCACGCTGTGCTAGGTTCTGGCTGATTGTAGGATATGTGAAATACCTTAATGCAGCATCTCGGATCCTACTTCCTGTTAGGAAGCAGGCTGGTTTAAAATAATAGAGCCCTTCCCCTAATAGCACTGGATCCACTTTCACAGCCTGTTGAGCCTAGCCAGGACATTGACCTCCTTTAGGCATTTGTTCCCTTTTCTAGGAGCACAGATGGGATACCTTGGGTGCTTCAGTCATCGTAAAAGCTTATTACTGCTATATAGCCTTAATCAGTTAGTGACAGAAGACAGCAGGGAGACCTTATAACAAAAGGGTGTCATGCTTGAGTTTGTCAAAAGCCTCAGCTTGAATATAAGCCCACAGGAAAGTCCACATGGTAGGGTGATAAACATCAGGCTACGGTGCATCGCCCTGGGGAATGTGCAGTGTGTGGCAACCACATGCTGCCCGGGGCGGGCAACCAAGATAGTCATGCACCTCAGCAGCTTCTCCACCTGTCCACTCTGCCCTGACTGGTGGCCTCTGCTCCCAGGACTCATCAGAGCTGTCATCAACACAGCCAGTGCCAGGAAAACACAGGAACTCAAACTGACAGAAAACAGTCAGCCCTTGGGTAAGCAAGAAAATATATATATTTTTTAAATCATGTTACTTCTCTGTGTATTTAGATAAAGCTGCTTCTACCAAGGAATTCCAGAATGACTGGTGATTCAGGTGGCCCTCTCAGGTGACTGCACACTCAACCTTCCCCTCAGGAAGCCCAGATGAGGGAAGTGTGGGCAGCCAGTCTGAATGAATACGCGGACTTGGAGAGGCTCTGTCAGTCACTTTCATAGTGACCTGGATATTGCCCCAATCCTCAAAGTAGCAGAATGTGTCTTCAGACATAGGCCTGTCACCCCATGGATTGAGCTACACTCAACTGTTCCTTTGTAATTACGCCTTTGCCCTGTTTGGGATAGAGTGTTCCATGGAAATGCTCTTTGTGTGTCCCCTTCTCTTGCTCTCCTTTGGGTATGACCTTCCTTGAAGTCAGTCATCCAGCTGACAGCTAACATCAGGAAGCTAGACTCCACCCCTGAAACCTGACCCCTTGCCTCATTTGAATGCCTTCTCCTCAATAAAAAGGGCTCAGCACTCTCTCCCTCTCTTTCTGCCGACCCTTAGAGTCAGAGGAGCCATCACAAGAACCCCCAGAAAGGTATCTCTGTCTCTTGTATGGTTATTGCATGCAGCCCAGTCCCCCTGGAGTGACCCTGAGTGTTTTAGTCATGAGGAACGTACAGCCATTCATCTGTGCCCAGCCTACCCTGGGTCTACACTATTCTTAAGACTGAGAACAGCTTCCCTGGGCAAGTATCCCTGGGCCCTACCTAACAAATGTCCCAAGGCTGGGCATGTTTGGTGTGAGGTACTGGAAAAGGCAATATAAGAAAGCAAGTGCCCATAGCCTGCTCTAACAGAGACCTCAACTTGGTGCCTGGCTGAGATACAGCAGGCCGGGCTGGGAGGGGGACAATGCAGGGAGGAATACTGGCTGGGAGCCAAGGACAACAGGGTCACCACCAAAAGAACCCTAAGTGACCTGGAGAGCTGGTAGCCTGTGCTGTGGCTCAGCTTGACAGGATGTGTCTTAGACAGTACTATGTCCTTACCCTGGAGGGATATCCTCCTAACATCTCTTGTCAAAAGCCTCCCAGTTCACTATACCGAGACAGCTGGACGATGCCAGCATCTGCTGATCTTGGGGTCACCTAGCGCATGATTCAACCTTATTGGTGGAATAAAAAAAGTAAATGAAAAGAAACGGATGGCTAGTCACTTGGACTACCCTTCAGATGCCACCTCAAGGTAGAGAGTCTTGACAACCTCAGGATAACCCTCTACATGGTGCTCACCCTTATGGGGCACCAGCTATCCCAGTGTGACCCCTTTCACGTCCTCTGCTATTTTAGTCACATTATACTCCCCCCAGTTTTAGTGACCCACACAGGAATTTGCAGTCTCTCTGTGGAACCTAAGCATTTAGTTTGGGTTTAACTCAA